TTTCGGACCAAAGGATGGTGTAGGAGGAAAAGTACAGACCAAAGTTATCATTTGTCCTGAGGAAAACATGAATATATTTGCTAAAGTTCATGATAATTCATCCAATGTTTTTTAGAGATTTCACTCCAAACCACAACCAAGAGGCTTTTGTACAAGAGGAGAAGTCCAGGGATCATCAAAGTCAGTACGATTCATCGCTTGGAAACTTTTAGACCGTCTGTACAAAACAAAAAGTCGGTGAGATATTTTACAATTGACACCACGGTGGTTACGCAACCCGTCGTCCTTAAATCCATTCTGCAGAGCGTGGCCAAACACAGGCGCTCGCTCTTCTCGCTCCCTTTCTCTCTCTGGTTCGTTCGCGGGGTCCCCTTTCTGACACGCTGACAGCGCTCGTTCCACTCTTTAGTTACAAATTGAACCCGAAACAACCGCTCTTCACCGCCCGCCCGGCCCCCACACCCACCCTGCCGCAGTAAGGCCGGCTTGCAACGCTGCGAGAGGTGCTGGGAGCCGCTCCGGGAGCGAGGCCCGCGGCGCGGGGCGGTAAATAACCGGCATGAAGGTGCCGCGGCAGACAACCCGGCAGACACCAACCCATTTAATGTTAATAGGAAAGCGTCGGTTAGCAGATTCTAAATAACAGCTCGCAGTCACAATGGCCGTGGATAGGAACCCCGGAGGAATTTATGGAGTTAGCAAATTGCTTTTCTATCCCAATTCTTCCCCCATTTGTCCATTTTTGCAATCCCTCAGCTCGGGGTGGGGATGATCGAGAGGTGCAAGGAGATGATGGGACTGTTGCAGCCCGCTCGACTTGACTTATCCTATATACGGCCACAGCGCTGCGCCAAAGGTGCACGACAACGGTCGGTCCGTCCCAGGTCAAGGTAGGGACGGACACCGGACAGGGCGCGGAGAGATTTCCAGTCCCACATTCAGAAGGGGTGGTTGGTTGGAACCAGTGGCTCTTATGTTGGACATACATTTCAGACACGCCCGGCCTGTGGTCGGTAATGTCCTCATCTGCAATTTCAGATCTAAAACGTATCTATTGTCATTTATCATGTCAATACTTTGGAAAAAATAAAGAATAAGTCTGGTAATATTTGTTTGACAATATGTGATTGCGTCTCTCTTAACAACATTTCCCACCTGCTCCTGGGCTCCATGCGCATTGGTACCTGTTGACGTCTCTAAAAAGTCACTTACCACCTGCTAAAACCCTTTTCCTACGGAGCTCCAGAGCTGGGCTCAGTTTTTGCAAACATGTGTTTTTTTAAATACAGAGTGGGTACACTCTTTGTTTCATCGCAGCCATTTGCTAAAAACCAAAGAGTTGATTTTATTTCTCGTCAATGTACACTCAGCGCCCCATCTTGACAGAAAAAAACAGAAATGTAGAATTTTTTGAAAATTTATTAAAAAAGAAAACCTGAAATAGCACATGGTCGGTACCCACTGTATGTTTGTATAAATATAAAGAGAAAAGCAAATGTGTTTGTTTGTTTTCACTTTCAATGGTGGTTTTCGTAGATCAACACAAAATAAATTAGAAATCATAGGAATAACATAAACTGCGGTTTGGGTACAGAGACAACACTAATTAGAGCAATTAATTCTAGGTTATGGTCGTTTAATGGATTTATTATTCCATTAATCTATAAATCTATTATTCTTTGACAGTAAAGTTTGTAAGAAGCTCAGTAAACCGGGCATTAGCGTAAGGGTCACTCTTTCAGTCGGCGTGACAGCTTCTCTGCATGAGATTAAAACATCACACAGGAAAAGAAGAAAAGGCAACAGAGAAACTTTGACAAAAACTACAAATAAAGGACTCAAATGGAGTCAGATATCTCCAGCTATGCTGCCGATGTGCAGATGTTATTGTTAATTATACTTATGTAAAGAAGGGCAGCTTTGGAAAAAGGCAAACAAAAGTTATATTTTAGATGCCGTTTCATTCCAAATGTTTGGTCTTGACAAAACAAGGCAATATGGAAAAGCGAATCATTGAGCGTTTTATCTGCACAACCTGAGCGCAAAGGGGACAACGGCAAGGGCAAAGCTCCGGGTCACATGCAATTAAATCACGGCGACAGTTTGACTCCACCAGGTCCGACCGAGGTCACTACTTGTAAACTCAACACCGCTTTTCTTTCTGTGTAGCAAGAAAATATGACTCAGACTAATTATTCACAATCACGGTGCTCACAAGAAATCTCAGCGGCTGACCTGCAGTAACCCTTTCATTGTAAATAAAGAGAAACCTTCTCGGGGAGAATATTTAATGTCACCAAAGCAGTTGGTAGGTTGCTAATTCTTAACGCTCCGCCAGAGTTGCTGAAGACCCGCGGCAGACTTTAACGGAGGATGACATTTTCAGATCACACTCCTGAATTTCAAAAAAAAAAAAAAGGAGGGGAAAAGAAAAACATGCCCCAGACAATCTTTCACACAGTTTTCTCCCACATAAAAGTACACATAATGTCGTCCCAAAATACATGTTTAGCATTCATCAGAGGAGATGAGAACAAACCGGCTCTTCGCCTTAAACTATTGGATATTTGGGATTACTCCTTTCACGCTCCCCAAACTGTGAAAAAATGCAAATGCTTTAACACACTGATATAAATCAGGGGTCTTTGTAAGTGTTAGTGGGGAGGTTGGTTGTGTCTTTTGTCACATGTTTTATTTTGATTCTATTTTTGGTTGCTTCCTGGAGCTACGCCCCAAAATCATTGTATTGCACATTATATATTGTAGAGTTAAATTGTACATTTTTGCCATTTTTCTTGCACCACGTTAGTTGTCTTGTTGTCCATTGTCTCATTGTCTTACTGTCCGACGTTGTGCACCAATCGCCATGTCAAATCCCTTGCATGTATAACATATTTTGTCTAACATACTTTGTTAGACGGCCGAAACGTTTACAGTCGATTGAACTAAAGGGGTTGTAACAATCTCCACTGGTGGTGGTTGGGGCGGCTTAACCACACCAGTCTTCATATTTGTCTCTGCAAATGGCAGAGACAACTGTCCACACACAGTGGGTGTCTCTAAGACCACATTTTGACACGACACTGTCACCTTTTAATGGCCTCCAGTTTGAGCACATTTGAAACACTGGTGGAGCTGATCTCATTTCTCCCCATTTGATGACTGCGGGGGGGGGGGTTTCACCAGAATTTGGGAACCGCTTGGCTCATCATAATCCAGGGCAAGTGACAGAGACACCGTCCTCTTGAGGGACAAATGAAGGACATAACAAAAAAAAGAACTGATGCCCTGAGATTGAATCTACACTCCTCGACACGCAGCTGGAGGGCGAGTGCCGAAAACAAAAATGCACAACATAGAACATGACCAGGAGGCACGAAGCCGGAGAGAGGCAGGGACAATGGAACATCCTTGTAATCCTTTTAAGAGCCGCTCACAATCGTAGCTCGGCACCGCGTGAAGCCGGGAGAGACACTCTGCCGAAACAAGCAGTCACAGAGAGCAACGCGCCGGCCTGATGGGCGAGCTGCTCCGGTCATCACAGCGTGCGCTAGTCATTAATAACCATTAGGGACGCCACAATCTGCACAAATGTTACGCTTATTCCCTACATCTGCGGATGTGTCACGGCTGTCTTTTGAGAAGGACACGCAATTCTATCATCAAGACAAATTGGAGGATTTTTGTCCATAAAAAAAAAAGATGACTGGAGGCTGTTTTGATTTAGTGACTGAAATATCCTGCATAATGACAACATGAAAGTCCTTTTCAGTGGAATTCTCTCTGAGGCAGGATGTCTCCTTGTGCACCTTTTCAGTAAGTAACACTATCTTAGTAACACTATTTAGCCATTTTCATCTAAACCCAAAATAAACCACTTAAAGCTTCCGGAGACCTTCAATTCCATCTTGAAATGAGCCGTGAACACCGGGAGTTTACGACAACAGACGAAAGAATACAGATCTCTAAAACCAAGATGATTGGCTTTTTTCACGACGGGAATGTCTGCTTGTGTGTTTGAATTGCAAAATGCACATAAAGTCAATATTTGGACACAGCAGCACAGATGAATGTACGAGAGAACTCGCCAGATGAACGGATTAGGTCACAGGTCAACTGGGCAAAACGTCCAACATGTGATGCACACAAACTTGCCAATGTTCCTCACGTTTCTAATCCCATTTTTAACGAACCCAGAAACCCCAGATCATGTTTTTTTTTACGGGAGGGGGTGGGGGGGGGGGGGTCCACCAGCTACTGTCACATCCACAGAGGCGGGATTACTCCCCCCTAGACAATAACTCCCTTAATTATCGCCCAGCGTGTTGCCTCCTCTCGAGGCCTCCAGAGGGGCTTAAAGACGCACGGCGTCTAAATTGTAACAAAAATGACTCCCGACATCCAGAGTGAGTTCAAATCCCCTCACACGTCATTCTGCAGCCACACACACACACACACACACAGAACCCCACAAGATTCGTTTTCCTGCAGAACGCAAGAGTTGTTTTGAAAATGTTTTTCAAAAATGTTTTTTTTAACCGGGACTGTGCTCCAGAAAACGGGCGCACGCTTCCATCCGTGCCGGTAAACGTCCCTCTGATCCGCAGTTAGGGGACGGAGAAACGGTGCGGCGTGTTATTGGGGATACAGGGAACAGAAATAAGAAATGAACAAGTCTCCCCCACTTAGCCGCCTAAGTGTCCAGTTGCGCACCTTTTTTTTTTTGGACGTGCACCGGAGCGTCGGACACGCGCAGGCTGGAGTCCTCCTCCACCTCCTCCGCCGAAACACCCGTCGCACGGACGTCTCCTCGTTAAATCAATGATATGAACAAGTCAGCTGTCGAACCGCCGCGCAGCAGCCAGCATGCGCCTCGGACGAGCACAGGAGTGACCCAAAGGCGCACAGCGCGAGCCCGTCACGGTGCCTTTGGACGCGAGGCTGACCGGCTTCTGCTCCCTCAGGAGGACAACAAAGAAAGAGCCTTTGTTAGGTCTTACCTTTTTCTTCCTTTGCCACGGTAAAGGACTTGTCCCGGAGAGGGGAGGTGGGGGGGTGTTGGACCGACTCGGCTCGGCTCGGCTCAGCGTCTTGGCGAAGGTGCCGAGGATGAGAGCTGCTCCTCTGAGTGCAGCTGGAGAAAGTGTGAGGAGATGTGGAGCGGCGGTGGCGTCTGCGTCTCTGAAGCGGACATCCGCGAGCTGCAGTCCTCCTCCTTCTGCTTTTATTATATTTATTATTATTTTTTTTCCTGTAACCGCACTGCGCACGTCTTCACCTAAAAACTGTTACCGCCTCCTCTCCCCAATTAACAAGATAAAGGGAGAAGGGTGAATATCTCCAATTCAGAACGGCCGGGGGGGGGGGGGGGGGGGGGCGCGCACATCTTCTTTCCCTGCAACTGTTCATCTGCAGACAGTAGATTGACATCTTGCCTCTGTAGTCACGTTTAAACCAGGTGGAACTTCCTAGTCTTCGGTTCGTAAACAATTAAACATTAGTTTCTGTTTAAATAATGCAAACCGGCATTTCATTTGCTTGTTTCATACTATTAAAAAAAACAAGATTATATTTTTGATGTTGGGGACTCGTGCTTGCTTTGCGATATCATAGCAAAAACATTCATTTAAAAGATCAATTCAAAAACAAAAAAGTAGACTGATGAGAATAAGAATGGAGACGTTGCATTGTGGGTGTTTGGGTGGCTGCAGACGTTACTGATGTGTTGCATCCCAATGACAAAGACATTTAAGGATTAGTATCGAAGTACAACACACGTCGTTGACATGTTCCAGGTTAAAAATGCTTTGCCAGACAGCTGATCACTGTTTGTACCTGGCGAGCAATAATTTCATCCAGTGTTTTTAGGAGACAATGAGCCCAGAGGCGTTTTAACCATCCAGATGGTCCCTCAATTAAAACAAAATGCAGGTCTCCAGATGGCAGAGCAACTGACTGAAGAATACATTGCAGACTGGGAAATTTATTTTCAACAAGGTGGGAGTCAGGTTTTGGTGGCAAGTTGGACAAGATTACAACACAAAGACCGTTACATGTGGAAGCAGTTTCCAGGTAATTTCTGTTAAACAAAATGAATGATTTTATAGCAAAGTAAATAGAAAACTGCTGAAAAGGAAACGTTAAAAATGTCCTTTCTGTTTCAGTCTTTAATATGTTGTCAACTCGTAAGTCCATTCTGTGTTGTAAGCACGTTCCCAATGATCCGGTGACTTAAACCTACTGCGGCTGGTCCTGACAGATGGCTGCCAGGGCGCAACGTTCTATCGTCCTTGAACGGTAGTACAGTAGTACAAGTAGAGTAAAAAAAAAAATTAAAAAAAACACACACACAAAAAACAGATACACGTATGTACATAAAAATACACTAAAATCACTTGGAGAAAAATGATATATGTACAAGTTTTTTGTTTTTAAAAAGGGGTAAGATCCAAGCGGTGGTTTTCTTCCTCACGGAGTCGAGCATCTACCTCTGCTATGTGGCCCCGCTGTCGCCCGGCCCCTCGTCCGCCGGCAGCTGCTGCCGCCCGATGTTGCTCTGGACAAACTGCTTAAGGCCGTCATAACCCTGACTGACCAAAAACTCCAAGTACCAGCTCCACGGCTTGGAATCCTGAAACACACACACACACAGAAGTCAGAAACACGCTCAATCACATTCAAGACATCAGAAGATTTCTATGATCAAAGCGATCGCCCTTGATCTCTGAAATGTGACGGATGCACATCAAACTGTGAAGGACTATTAATGTATGAAGAAGAGAAAAAAAAAGCAGTGCCCTCGTACCTTTATGGAATTGAGGTCCATGTCCTTTCTCCAGGCCAACACTGATAAAGAGAAAATATTAATATTCAATGTCAGTCCATCCCGCGTAATCTCATAAGATCGCTGCTGGATGATGCAGCCGGGCTGAACCAAAAAAAAAGGGCGTGTGTATTATTAAGCATGACGAAAAGCACATCTCCTGCTGCACACATTAATAATACAATGTCCTTCTGTATTAATGTATGTTCCATGAAATATATATTTTTACCACATCTGTCTCCTTGTCTTGCCTGCAAGTCCATTAAACAAAATGTACAGATTGGCTGTGGCCGATTCATCAAGAGCTACATAGTGTACAGTGGTTGTAATGTAATGTACAATGGAGCTCAGACGGGACAGTGGACCGACTCGCTACGATGTCGCACACTGGTTTGAGGTATATCGTTTGGAAGCCGGCACCATTTTGTTTTCATTCTGCTGAGAAACCAAACGCTGATGAGACATTTTTTAGGCAACCAACTAGGTTGTAGAATGAACTTCGTTGAACTGAAAAATGCCTGTGACAGGATTTACGTTGCAAGACAAAAACACAGCCAACTCTCAGACCTGTCAGTCACGAGATAACCACGCCCTCAAGTACACCCTGCTATATAGTTAAATTTACACTAAATGGGACCATCATTTAATAGATGAACATCATGCTGTGTTAAAGAATACTTGTGCTAGCATCTGAGATCATGGAGTCGTGTTTACCATGATTACTGAAGCAGAGTCATATTCTCACAGATTCTACACAATCAGATTATTTTTGCAGCCAGGAGTCACCTGACGTCCTCCTGGTTAAAGAGCCCTTCGCCCTTCAGTTACACTTTACAGACCCAGCGGAAACTCCCCTTTGTACATTTTTCCCGGTCTGCAGCGGGAAGTGATCCAACTCAAACGTCTTGAGAAGACGACCTAAACACTCACCCTGTGGTGGAAGTCGACCGCGTAGCTCATGAAGGCGGGGTGGTGGACGAGGTCGAAGCTCGCCCAGTATTGTGGCACTTTGCTCTTGAGCAGCAGGTCCTCCCCCAGGCTGAGGCCCATGTCCAGCTGAAACATTTTGGAGTTCCACAGGCAGTTGACCATGACGATGATGTAATGGTTGAACTCTCGAACCATCTGACGGCTGATGTGAAAGGCCTGCTGAAAAACACGAAAGAGAAAGCGGAAGGGTAAAGTATCTGACATCTGTTGTGCGGATTCATTTGCATGCCATTAACAAAGTCCATTTTCTTTAATAAAAGGTGCCCCTGACATTTCCGGGGGGAGCACGCTGGGTGGCCCGACGTCCACTTATTAATTCACGGCACGCAGTGGCCGATTTTTTTAAATCAAAAACCTCTCAAGTCCTCAGCTGAGAGCATATTAAAGGTTCGCAGTTTAAGACAAATGCATGTGAATTCCTCGAGAGCGACACCACAAGATGGAATATCTATTAAAGCTATCAGAGGGAGGGAAAACAAACAGGAATTCACTTCGGGATGTGTGCACCAGCTAAATGCCTCAAATGGAAAAAAAGGTTAAATTAGCTTTTCAAATCACAGAAAATGATTTACCTCGCATTACCTGTCAAGTACTCGCTTTACAATATTACTGTAATGCAAATATCAGGGATATTTATTGTTTGTGTTACCTTTGTGAGTTCCTCCTGACTCTTGGCTGATGTGAAGTTCACCTTGTACCTGAGCAAAAAAAAAAAAAAACAGTGAACCCAGTTATCATTAATTACTGCCAAAAGAGATTTCTTTTCCCGTTGCCCGCCAAGAAATATAATACAATTACATTCCAATTTTCTTTTGTCATGACATTTTTAGGCTCGAATTTGGCCAAATTACTTGGAAGCCCTGGGCTGTTGTCAATCAGCTGACACTAAGGATTTGTGTTATTAAAGCTTGCCCTCAAGTTAAAAAAGAACTCTTGGAATTCAAGAGAAAACAAAGAAAAGTGCTTTAATACGTTGCCTCAGACTCTCATTCACAGAAGTCATCCATTAAACTATATGTGCAACTTAACCTGTGGATTCCCGTTCTATTCCATCCTTAAACGTGCATTGACGTGTGACACTCGTGTGCTACATGCATCGCAGCATTGTCGAAGCAGGAAGTGAAGAGTCCCCACCTGTGCATGATGTACGCCAGTCTGTCCACGCTAACCGGGTCGGTGGCGAACAGGGCCGGATAGAAGACTCCGGGCGGAGGCATCACCACGAGGGGGAGCCCATACTTCATAAACATGTCACACACCTGGGGGAGGAGAAGAGTACGGAATAAACGCCCACCGGTGGTAAGGGCAGAGACGTAAACATTCAGAGCGTCCCACTGGGGGAAGACTGAGCTGCTACAAAGCTTTCTCGGGCATCCAATCGTCATAATGATTAGAATAAAGTTGCCAGTCAATTCATCTCATTGCACACGTTCAGAAAGCTCTCTGAAACGGAAAGCAAGCCAAACCTCCTTTCATCATTTCTGATTTAGATGGAGTATAATTACAGGTTCTTTCTTGGATTTCAATTATTAATCCAATCTGCCTCTTTTTTCATCTCATGAGTGAATGTTTTGTACAAAATGTGCTGCTGTTGACGGAGTCGTAGTTAAAGGTCTCCTTTTAATAACATTTAGTTTATGTGCGCAAGACGTTTTACCGTCACACTTTAAGTTACATGTAGGACCATCGCGGGCTTCCAGACTAGAAGCAATGTCACAAACGATCACCATGATGTTCTCATATTGAACTCGGCCATCCGTGAACAGATGAATGCGAAAACAGGCGGGCGGGTACGTTATTCTGCACAGTGAAGCTCAGACATCCAAGTAAAAGGAACTATAGGCAGAGAGGGTCTGTGTACAGCAACAGTAATGCAGATTCCATCAAAGGGGTTTGCTCATTTACGGTCTCATAGAAGTCCAGGACGAAGCTGAGGAGGAGAGAGTGGCAGCCTTCGAGCTGGAGACCCAGAGAGGCCAGCCGACCCACAAAGTCAACCAGCTCCATCACAGAGTCCTTGAAGCCCGACAGAGTCATGTTTCTGGGAGAGAGGGCAGAGCAGAGTCACGACCATGCGGCGCCCCCCCACCCGGAGCGACACTCCAGCAGTGCAATCAGAAATCAGCAGCATGACACTTCATTACAATACAAAATGGCAAAGTGAATTAAGAGTGATATTGGGAAAGATTACTCAAATACACAATCAATGTTACTGGGGATTAATCCCAGAGTTGTATTGGGCGAAATGCCAGAGGTGAGTGTGAGAATGGTTAGTAAAAAAAGGATCCCTCCCCTTTGGATCACTTGTTGTGGGATTAGACACAGGAGAGCTCAATATTGATGACGCCCAGGTAATTAAAACATAACTAATACGTGCTCCACCCCTTACATTTGGATGCTGGAAAATCCTTTAGCTGGAGATTAGTAGTGTTTTTGTCTGAAAACTAATTTCAATTAAAGGATTTGATGGATAAATGTGTTCATAACGAAATGGAAAAGGGTGTTAATAGACACTTTTGCCTAGGTTGCTTTGGTTAGTGGGTGGTAGATGGCAGGAATTAAAGTTAAAGCATGACTGTTAAGACCAGTATAAAAGGGTTTGATTTTATCAGAGTAAACAATGTCAAAAATATGTCCAAATTAGAACATTGCGCAAATGAATAGCCTGGCTAATTCAACTGGCACGGAGGCAGTGATTCTTTTTCATTACACTAACCCACAGTAAATAACTGCGGCAACACTTTTATTACATCTGGGAGAAATGAGAAGTTCTTGGCTTGAAAGCAAAAGCTCATCTGGCTATGGCCCCTAGGCAGTCGAGTAAATTCACAAAGTGTTTTTAGGGTTCACGCTGAGGGCATAAACAAGTAGCGGCAAGTAGATGCCAGACTCACATGGAGGTGTGGCTGTTGAGGCTGATGTCCAAGTCGTCCTCCAGGGCGTACACCGAGTGCCAGGTCAGCCACTTCAGAAGCATATTGTTCAGACACTCCATCAGTCCGCACTGCGGGCGCATGACGAAGAGGAGCAGCGCCGAGCATTAAGGGACGCTTATTGAAACGCTGCATCAAATGGACATTGGGCGCCGGGGATAAATTATTTTTAAAAAGACCGTAGAGGAGTTTATGGCCTGTGGCGTGAGGGGCGGGCGCCAAGTCTCTCATACGGACACACAGACGCTGGTTTGAGAGGCGATGCCGTAGCAATCCCTAATCAAGATTGTTATTTCTTATACAGTACATATGAAGAAATAAAGCTCTTCTGTTCTGAATTCGTTTTCGTCTCTAAAAAAGAACTGATTAGAATTGTGATGTGTGAGTATTACAGTTAAAATACCCATCTCTGCTGAGCACAGGGTAGTTAGACCACAAAACAAACACAATGAGTGCTTTAATAAAAGGAAAAAAACACCACCGCATCGTTCCCATTAAATTATAGCAGAAGGTTTAGTTATTCAAGCCCGCAGCTGGAGATTATTTTCCTTGTGCCTCGGGGAGGTAAACTCACCTTGAAAAACAGGGAGGATGTGAAGAAGAGCTGCATGAGAGGCTCAAACAGAAGTTGTCGGATTTCTGAAGAGAAGGAGGAGGCAGGAGGTCAGAGTTTCTACCAGCTATCTAGTTGAGTTCAATTCCTAGTGTGTGACACAGTAAGGCAGGTCTCGCTAAAACTAAAAAAGTGGAGAGCGAGGCCGGGTTGTGTCTGTCTGCTCGACAGAATCGCACATAAAGACGAGGGGGGGGATGGGGACAAAAACCAAAGAAAACTCACGGGCGCTGGGGACAACGGGGATGTTGCTCAGCAGGCCAAGAATCTGTGGACGGAGGAGGGAACCGTCCCACACGTTGAGGAATTTGTAGAGAAAAGCCTCTGAACAGGAAAAGCCCTCCTGGGGGAGAAAAGTGACACGTTTTAAAAAGCCGACTGTGGTTGAGCATGAGGGTGCAGGATAATGAATACATTGGGGGGTGAGGGGGGGTGAAGGACCGATGTGAGGTACAGCGGTCAGGGTCTGGAATGTGGGGCTCACCTGGAGAAAGTGCTGCGTGGACAGCAACCTGTCCAAAAACGGCAGCGCCTCTTGTGAATTCTGGGAGGCTCCTCTATCGCCACAGAACAGGAATTCTTGTAAAATAGCACAAAAGCGTGTTTGGTGAGTGATGGAAGTCAAAAGCGTCTTCACACCGTGACTTCCTCTATAGTTGCTTTTAAACTGCTCTCTGAAAGAACCCTTTTTAAATGCAGACTACCTCATTTATATTTGGGTTCGAGTTACTTTGGATGAATCTTCCTGACATACGCTGTGACAACAGTTTGGCAGCGCCACGCCCCATCCCCCCCCCCCCCCCCCCCCCTTACCTTCGTGGAGTGCGTAGCCTAGCCAGAAGTTGAGGCGTAGGAGGGCAGACTCATCCTGTACACAGTCCAGGTACTGCAGTGCCAGACTGGAGCCCAGCAGAGAGCCCATCTGAGCGGGCAGCTGGTGGAGGTAAAAGGAAGAAATAGGACACACATGCAATTAAGTATGATCGACAGGACAATTTTTTTTTTTAATCAAACAAACATAAATCCAAAGGAGCACGGAAGAAGAACTAAAGTCCTATTTGCAAACTTTACATGAATCAGTTCTACTTGCTACAGAATAGGAATAAACCGATGCTCATGGCCTTGTTTTCTTTGAGTGGGCCACCAATCCGCTACTGAGCTAATTCTTCAGTATCCAGTGATCCCTACAATAGCAGCACTGGCACATTTCTGTCAACAAGCTGGATAGATGATACATACAGATGATATGGTCATATGTATTACCAGCTCCCTCCGAATATGGGGACTTCATCAATATGATAAATAAATAAGAATATTGAGAAGACATGGAAACAGATCAGCGCTCCAATAACGATGTGGCAACTGTATCATTAAACCCGAGTGTAAGCAATGAGGGAGGTAATCAATGAGCCTTTGTCAATGCCTTACTGAATAGTTGTATGAGTGAGATGGACTGTAATTATTAGTCATGCCTCAGATTCGGAATGAGTAGAGCTTTTTCTTTTTACAATAAACACAATTGATGCTATCACAGTCTAGATGCCTCGCATTGGCTTTGCAGGCAGCGAAAGAGGAGAATTTATGTAGCATGACACATAAAAGGTCGGTGAGCCATTAAAAATGACTTGTATTAGTTTATGAGGTCACTGAATCTGCAGGGCAAATAGATACTTGTGGAGAGGCGTCTTTAAATGACCGTTTATTATGAAATTTTGTTCAATACATTGCTGAGATTTATCCTAGCTCATGACTATTGCTTTTAATTACTCATACAGGACAGATAAACCACTATATCTGTAAAGAGATGAATATACTACTGTAGTGTACAGACTACATTTCAAACAGTGGCACAGCACCACCCTGTGGCTGTTAGGGTGCATTGCATTGGGGATGGACAGTGGTTACTAATCCAAATGGCGTGAAGGAAACTGGCAAAAACTGCTGCTTAAACAGTTAATTAACTACTGGGTTTATATTAAATTATTTCCCAGTTCAGGAGTGTTGGGACTGAGAGGTTAACTGTGGGAATGGAGGTGGCCTATAGCAGAGGTTGTGAAAGACTGAAAGGGAGCAAATAAAGGGGCAGAAGCGGCAACCAAGAGAAATTACCTCGATGCGGTGCATATTTTCCAGCAGCTGAGCAAAGGAGTGGAGCTGCACCAGGGGCACCACCTTTCCACAGGAGGACGGCTCAGTCTGAGCCTCTTTACTGACTACAGAAGTCATCACCGGCAATTCCAGATGGCAGCGTTTCTGAGAGAGAAAGAATGTGATTAACAGAAAGCCAACAAATGGATTTTGTCGTTTTCCTTTTCTTAAATCAATTAAAAGGCATCCAGACCTACACATTTTGCAGAGGTGGGGCTGATGAAACGCTGAAATGGCATTGGCAACTGTAGCGCATTGGGAGTGATTGCAAGCGCAGTAAATAGTGTTTCTGACCCTTTAAATACATCCCCATACCCTTTTCCTGGGGTTGGTCTTTATTGTTGTGGAGGCCGGGCTGATGCCGGCGGCGACATGGGGACCGGCCCCCTTCTGGACGGCAATCAGCGCTGATTTCCAGGGCATGTTGTGGTTTCTAAAGCCACTCTGTGAGAAAACAGAAAAACACACAATCCCGCTGGTGCTTTAGCGGTGATGGTCGTTGATAATTACATTTCAGTGCAACGAGCACCAACTGCACAAACCTTAATCCGAGATGGAATGGAAAGCATCACCATTTCAGGACAAAACACTTTGTAAAGTGAAAGTAGGCTCAAGAGGAATGGTTGCCTGCCCTGAGGAAACAAGATCAACATGCTGCATGAGACCACTTTGTGAATGAGGTTTCCAAATAATGCAGAAGACAACATAAACAATGATATGAATCATTTATGGGAATAATGCACAATGTACAATGAACCCATTCTGTGAATTCTCATTGAATAGATTTTCATTCTGAATAAGAATAATGTGGCAGCTATGATGAATGGATCTAGAGGGTGTTGCATCAGCAGGTTTTACCAGTCTAGACTGTAGCTCCAGTAGCTTCCTGACTCTGAAGACACGCACTACAACGAGAGAAGAAAAAGAAGCAGTTAAGAATACTCACAGGGTTTATATGAATACCGAAAAGAAGAAATCATTGAGTAAATGAGATCAAATAGCATTGCAGTCGTTTTTTGAGGGGAAATTGTTAGACTCACCACTTTCCTTTCTGGTCAAAAGGTACAGCAGATGGCAGATGAAAGGACACTGAAAATAAATGTGACAGCAAAATGATATCCTCACATCCCAGCAGTGCTTTAGTGGATCCCAGAACACATCACAGGGCTGCAGTCATGCCCCCACATGAGAGCGCAACTGCTTTGTATTAATTTAATTCAGGCCTAAACCAGAAGCCCAGCTGAGCAGAAATGAACCATTTATTATCACACCAGGTGTGTGTCTCCAACAAGGCAGAGCGTACATGAACAGTGAGGCATTTGTCATTTCAAAGATGTTTAAAAAAAAAAAAAAAAAAGCCCAAAAAGACAAAGAATTCACACAAGTCATTTAAATGACAAAGAAGCATCAGGAACCCGTCGTTCGTGGTTCACAGAATGGGTAAATGAATATAACACAAATTTGATTTGATGCCATTTTAACAACGTCTGCTCACATACCAGATTTTCCTCTGTGACGAAGTTGAAGATGAAGCCATAGACAGCTCGAAGTTGGTCCTTTGCATCGATCATGTCAAACACGGTCAACACCCATTTTATGAAAAGAATCTGAAAATTGCATATGCAAATTATCACAAAAATCAATTAACTAATACTAAAACTGATACTTGACACATACAGAATCCAAACGTAGTCATCTCAAATATTGTTAAATTGTGTGCAAAATCAGCAACACTCAAAAGCTCTTTTGTAGTTGTTAAATACAACATGGGGAGAAACAGTTGAATATAATACATTTACTATGCAATAGGGGTGTAACGATTCATTCACTGAATCAATTAATCGATTAATATTCCTGCGATCCAACTGAATCGATATGTGCTCCGCAAATCGGCATTCCGGACGACATATATCGATTACAAAGCGATTGAAATGGTACATAATCGAAACATGTATTGATACTTGGAAACTGCACATTGGATACAAGTACAAAAACGGTATGGATGTGTGTTTGTTTGTTTGTTTGTTTTTAGCACTTTAGACACGTTAAACGTTACTCGATTCAGTCTGCCTGTCTGTGACGTCATCAGTACGCAGCGGCAGCCGCGCGAAACTCGGAACAACAACAAAACACAGCGTGGAGGAGACGACTGCGAGCAAGACATTTACAAACCAACTTATCGATCCAGCATGTGGAAACATTTTGGCTTTTGCAAACACGGAGGTGTTCTAAATAAGTCGGTTGCTGTTTGTAGAATATGTAGAAGCCAAATAAAAAACCACGGAAACACGACAAGTCTTTCCGGCCATCTACTAAGGCGCCGTGGGATTAAACAACGCCGACAGTCAGGCACCTCTAGCAGCGTCACCGCTGCAGCAGCAGAAGGTAACTCCAGCTCTGCAGACACCTCAGGCCTCGCCAGCACCAAACTCAACATCACAGTAACAATTGCCAAGTTTATCTGTAAAGACATGCGACCCTACAGTGTGGTTGAAAATCCGGGGTTCTGTGAATTGATCCAAACATTGTGTAATTATTGTGTAATGTTTACATTGAAAATGTTTGCACTTGATTCAAATAAAAGGTTAATACATTTGCCATTAATTGTTGTTTGCTTGGTTTATAATATCCATAATTAATTTAAACCTGATTTCCTTACAAGAAACAACAGGGATCTCGGAAACTTTGCCTGCACTGTCCAGTAAAGTTACTGAATCGATTTCAAGTCACTGAATCGAATCGTTCTAAATTAACCCAGATCGTCCATGAATCGAATCGGCAACCATGAATCGCGAATCGAATCGTTGTTCAAATGAATCGTTACACCCCTACTATGCAAACATAAATTAGAATAATGCAAATTATTGTTGGAGGGTGGTAGCCCACCTATTCCAACATATTATGAAGAATTTGGACAAACCATGTTTGCACTTACTTGTGTGCTGACGGGTATCTTTCCTACACTCAGCCAGACCACCGCTCGAACAACAGCCTCCTGCGGCACCAGCGTGGCTGGAATCAGACACTTCAGCACCCGGGCGCACAACGAAGTCCCTACACAGTTAAAAGCAAGCAATTGTTGAGGTTGACGGTTAAAAAAAAAAAAAAAGAATGGTAGCTTATCGGAGTCCTTAATATGCACTTTCTACTGCATGGGTGTTTGTATTTTGTAATTGTAAGAAGCAATAGTTGGCTCTGGGTTTTTCATCAATCAAACTGCACTAAACACATCACGTTTGGACCTCACAGCAGCTCAGTGGTTAACACCGCCGCCTCTGTGTGGAGTTTGTTCCATGTTTGCAAGTGATTATTTAGGTTCTCTTGGTTTCTATCCACAGTTAAAAGAAAAGGCAGAAATTATGGCTTTAAATTCAGCGTGTGAATAATAATAAAACCGGTTGAAGGGCTCTGTCCAAGGTCTACACTTGTTGTGTGATGGGAAAGACTTCTTCCACTATGACCCTCTACAGATTAGGTGCCAGAGAGGCGGGACGACATTGTACCCTGTTCACCGTCGCAAAGTCACTTTCTTACCCATACGGAGGCTCATGGCAAATTCCAGCATAATGGAGATGGCCTCCGGGGACAGTCCTTTACTGTAGGCCAGCTTTTCCACCAGCACCATGTTCCTCTCAACCTCATCATTCCCATTCACTGGAGTACCTGCTTCCACTGTAGGAGGGAGAGATGACATCACATCACTTGCAAGCGTTTAAAATGTCAAAACGAATAACAAGGAGTAGTGTTGACGAGCTCAGGTGATTTTTATTTTTATTTTTACTGTATGTTGGGTTACATAACAACCTAATGAGATGGCACTGGACAAACTATGTGAAAAGGTTTATTTCACAGTTAACAATAATCTCAATAAAAAATATATTCTATATTTTACATGTATAATATTCAGAAGTTTGGTGGCTCATCCTTGAGATGAGAAAAACACAACGCATGTTTATGTCATCTAGAGACAAATCCTGGAACTTCCCTAAGAAGGAGTCCCGGTGATACATTCTTTTGTGAAGAAAAGACCTCTTAGTTATTGGGGCACATGGGAAAAAAACTAAAACGCTTACAAAGGGCTTCGCAGTGATTTTCATGTGTGGTGGATTAGGGCAAATTGTGTTTGCACCTTTTGCCTGAGTAAAATCAACAGTATTTAGACCGTAGACATGAAGCAGTATAAACACTTTGATTTGTGGGGAATATAGTCATTGAAATGGTGCAGAAACAATAATCACATTCACAACCAAATGTAGGCTTTTGTTCCACCAACATTGAGTGAAATCAGTCAACATGGATGAGTTGCCTCAATGTTTTCAGTAGGTGTGTTTAGTGATGTACAGACAGGTGTCTACACTACTGATCACATAAACGACTAGCAGGATAGCTGAACACCCTACAGGTCACACAATACAAGGGATCTCCTTAAACCTCATTTGGATAAAAACAAAAAAAGTCTTTGTTTGATCGATCAGTCACTTGCTGCAGTCTATTTTAGGGATATTAACATATGCCGGGGCAACCGATGACGTCACACGGGTTGCTCCTCCAATGTTCCGATGATGACGATGTTGTCGTCTCTGTTTTAACATCATTTCACGTCGCAGACTTGCGCGGTGGCTAGCTGCGTTTGTGATCGCGTAATACGTGAGATCTAATAACGGAGTACCGTCAACTTAGCAACGTTAGCTGTCACCAAAGCTACTGTACAACATGCAGGAAGAAAGAATCACATGTTTGGATTAACGTTCTGCTGGCCGATTAGCGTTACACGGTGGACGGCTACGTGGGGTAGGGTAACCGTGGGTCAGGGTAACCGTGGGTCAGGGTAACCGTTAAACTCCCGTCGTTACCGTCAGAGAAGTACTTCAGGGCCAGAACAAACGGGTCCTCCGCCTTCTTCTTCTTCCTCTCCTTCTCTGCGACCCTCAGACTTCTGTTGCTGCTCCGGCTGGACACAGACAGGTCGCTCGCGGATGAAAGGTCTAAATCCGGTGGCCCCGTCAAGCTTAGCGTTGCTGCCATTTCTACATTGCTAACAGCTTGTAAATACTGCGCCCCACTCGCTCTTCAGCCATTCAAACAAAACTCAAATCCTCCGCGCGACCGTTTGTTCTGCGCTTGCGCAGTGTTGTCTTTCGCGCCGCGCTGCTTTATGGAAGTTGTAGTCCGTACGCCATTAACCACCAAAGCGGAACTACAGTAGCAAAGTCGTGGAGCTGCTCTTATCGAGCCATTGTCTTGTCTCATCTGGTGACGTCAATCATCGAATGACGTGTAAAACCAGTGAATATGCTCCAACACAAGCGATTTTAGTGTAACTTTACAGTGGTGTAAAAATCGCAAATAAAATTCTACTAATCCTTCATTTTACTTGACTGCAAGTAATAAATATATCTTCTTTATATTTTTTACGTTATAATTATAATTTTTATCGAGCTGTTCTACAAAGACCCCAAGACTCCCCCAAACTGTAAACTTCAACTGTCCCTTAGTCTAGTTTCAATGCTTCTCTGTAGTTAGATTAATAGGAGTTATGCTGTGTTGAACAAAGAACATTTTATTCCACTCCCTAGATCCTTCGTTCAGATTCTTCAGTCATTGAAAGTTCATCAAAGGGTATATTCCCAAAGTAAAATGATTTAATTCTTCCTCAATGATACCTCCTCTTCAAAGCTACATTGATTTCCTACTAAATAAAAAATGTGGTTTATATTACCTGGCAGCATTTTAAAAGTCTTTAAGCTCTCGGTTAAGCACATATTGCTTTCCGGTTGAAAATGCATCAACCTGTAATAGACAATAAAATAAGCCTATCCCTTACAGCGGCGCATACCATGGATGATAAAACATGAAATGTCTATGTATATATATATCTGATGGAATGCGCTTGACATAAAAATAAAATTTCGTGGCCCGTTGTTGCAAGAGAGATAATCAAACAAGCTCATGTCGGTTTCACCTCCAATTCTTTATTTTAAGTATTTTGTTTACAGAAATGTTGTGAATCTTCAAACTAACTGACATTTTCAATTTAGAAATCATCCCATAAGGGAATCAGTGATAGGAATACTTATCTTCAGAGAGAACTAAATCCAAAGTGATCAGCAGAACCATTGATACATTTAAGACTTCCGCTGCGAATTACAAAAAAGGTAGAATTTTTAACAGGAAAAAAAAAAAACACTTCTTGAATCGGTTGACAACGTAGCAGCTGTCATCCGGGGGAGCAACTGCTGTACTTTCCAGTTAAACAAGGAGAGGAGAAAGAGGGATGCAGCTCAGTTTACTGCAGGAGAAAGGATTTCATGCGCACCGCTACCAAAATGTACGCCTGCTGGAACGAAAAGAAAGAAAACGTTCTTCGTTCTAAAATGGTCTTCTGGTAACACTGCACACAAATAAGACGCGGATATGTAATGCTAGTGGATGTATAATTTGTACAAAATTGTTTCAAAAGTGTTCATTTTCAATCATTCTCTTGACCAAATGGAACATGCACAATTTATTGAATTTCACAAATCCAGAGTCTCTCCTACTTACAGTATAAAAACAAATTAGAAAATAAAAAGCTAGAAAGATTCTTTGGAGACAAACAGCATCCCCCAAATCAACTCATAAATTATATTCTTACTTAAAAAAAACTAAAACACATTTAACATAGCCTGAAATAGAATAAATAGGGAAAATGGATTTATGAGCCGAGCTCACGAGAGTTTCCTCGGGTGTGATGGTCCACGGTTATGGAGAGGATGTATGGATCGGGAGTTCTCCATTTCACAGCGAGAGAGAGCAGGTGAGAGTAATCAGTCAGCGAGCTGGATGGGACAGGAAATATATATGTGTGTGTGCGTGTGTGTGTGTGCGGGTGTGTGTATGTGGAGGGGAGGTTGAGCTTTTTACTGGAAGTGACTGATTCCTTCAAAATCTGATTTACCACAATCCGTAGGGGCGCGCCAGCTTCCCCTCGTTGCGGCACCGGACCCGAGCAGGAGAGGGCCTTAAGACTGCTTGACCTTGTTCTTTTCCTGGTCATTAACGTGTTGCTCTTCTCTGCTGTCCTCCCTCTCCGGCCGCTCATCGCTCTGCCGGGCGATGAGCAGTCGGCAGGTGAGCAGGATGCCGAAGACCAGAGCGTGGGCGTAGCGTTTCAGGGGGTCTCCGACGAGCTGGTGGAAGAACAGCACGGCGAGCATGACCAGCAGCAGCAGGAAGTTGGCCACGTCTTTGGGCCTGCCCGGCACCAGGGTGAGCACCACGCCGCAGCCCACCTCCAGAGAGCCGATGATCTTGCGAAGCAGGACTGAGCTGACGCCAATCTTCTTCAGGCCCGGCAAAGCCTTGGCGTAGCTCTTGTATGCCCTTTTCTGGAAGGAGAAGGGAGAGAGAGAAAAAACGACATAGATCTATTTAAATAACTTTCACATTTAGCTAAGGTCACACGAACTCTCATGGGTCGTTCTTGTAGTCCATTTAAGCGCCATGATGTTGAGTCACACAACTGTAATGGTTCCATTTCATCACACTGGTTGCATATTCCGATTGCTTCCTGTGTCAATGTGTCCTATTTACGCACACACCTGTCCTAAGAAAACATCGCGCGTATTGATTGCTAGTGAGCTTTATCATCATCATCATCTTGCACACTCCAACATCAGCACCGGCAGGTGCATCTCGGAGAAACTGCTGGGACGCGCCGCCATTGCTCTTTAAATTAAACGAGAAGCTTCTCGAGCGTCGACCCACTCAAAAACATAACAAAAAAAAGAAAAAAGGTTGCTTCAACTTTTAAACGAGATCATTTATCCTGCAGCTTGGCATCCTTCATTGATGACAACGGTGCATTCGCGGCGTTTACACGGGGGGGGGGGACAACTATTCTTACCGATCCGTCGTTGTTCCCCGCGTTGCTACGTAAAGCCGCGATGGCGTATCGTGAAACACAACGTTACATGCTTAGCACATGTGCGATCTGTGTCAGTACGGGAAATAATGTATAATATATTCACGATCACCGCTGGAAAACGAAAAAACGCTTCGGAGAGGCACACGATGAGAGGAAGTCGTGATCGAAAGCGTTGTTTTCCTTCCCCCGATCTTTGGCTATTTAGGTCAACGTCACATTATTCGAGCCTGAGAGCCTTTTTTTATTTTTTTATTTCTCGCGTCTGCCGCCGTCCCAGAACAATGGCCCCCGCGCGCCCCCCCGACGCGACGTTCCGTTACTCACCATCTCGCTGTACGCGTCTTTGCTTAGTCTCGGGGTGAGCTTGATGGTCCCCATGAACACGAAGAATAAGCCCAGGGCGAACGAAAGGGCCACGATGGTAACTGTCCTTGGCGAGGCCATCTTTCGCACACGGTGCGTGCAGCGAGCGCGTCCCACTCAAAGTGAACGCGGCGTCGAGCGGCTTCCCGGTGAAGATGCACCAGGGGGGGAGGGGCTTACGGGGAGGAGGAGGGGAAGAGGGGGGGGGGGGGGGGGGGTCCAAGATGGCGCCGCCCGGGTCCCCCTATAGGAGCCTGACGGGAGGGGGGGGTCGTCCACGGGTCGAAAAACACAGCGTGAAACGCCGCTAAAACTTCATGGTGATGGCGGGCCGGTGACGGTAAGAATATTCTCGTGGTTTCCCGCAGTTTCCCGTTTATGAAAGCTAATTAAATCCAACCAGCGAATCCCCACTTGGCATGGGCACTATTTCATTTTATATATTTATTTATTCTACAAAGAGCTTCTTAGTTCAAAAGGAAATGCATATAGGCTGCTTGTTGTGTAAGAAGAAGGAGGTTTTAAGAAATAGGCACAACTAAAATAAGCATGAAGGCCAGAAATCAATGCTCTCACCCAGGTGGTTTTTGTGCTCTTTAATAACAAGAAGGTAAATGTCAAATTATTACTCTGGGAATGACAGTATAATCAGTAGCAGCGGTTGCTGGGGAGAGTTTTAGAAAACCTTTTACAGACAACCATTTTCTCCACCATCATGTATAATTTAAATCGTATTGTAAAGATTTTATAGGTCTACATTTTTAAGGAAAAAATAAGGTTACAAATCCACCAGTGAGCAGTGGTACTGAACCCCTTTGCCACGATGCGTGCAGTGAATAATGATAAACATTTTCTTACTTAACTTGTAGGATACAAAGGTCTACTTAATTTGCTGTCTGATAATACAGCTGAAATAAATTTAAAAAACACAATCGATATGTCAGGAAAATTGTGGCAAAACGTTTATTGTTTTTTATCAACAATATCCCTTACTCTAGCAAGTGCTACGTTAATATCTGGAAAGTGTTTAAAAAAAACATGCAGTCAAAATAATAAACTGTATAGATTCAAAACAATAAAAACATTTTGGCGTTGTACACAATTTCGTTTACTTCTAAAAATGTATAAATTGGTATTTGTATCATTTAAAATTTTATGTTATTCATACATTTTATACAGACCTGCCCGTCATTACACATTGGATTTTGCAGTTTCCCTCCAAAGGTTCAGTGATCCGGTCTCATGTCTAGTGAAAATAACGATGTCTCGGGATCTGCCTGTCCGTCATGAAGTGATGCATTGTGGGCTGTGGCCTACACTGCCACTACCACACCATCACACTCAGGTCGCAGGGTTCGCACTCACTGTCCCTTATCCTGACGTTCCCTCAGAGCCAGCATTGCTTTTCGGTAAAGATCTGAGGGATCATTTAAAAAAGACAAAAGCAGCGGTTACATTTATTTTCCAAAATGTCAATTTAAATGACGATGTGTGACGAGTGGACGAGGCTCACCAAATGTTGCAGACAGGTCCACAGGGCGAGCGTAAGCTTCAGACGTCTCCTCGCTGTTGATCTTGTTCTTCCTTTTAACTTTCACAACTTTTTTCTTCCTCCTCTTTTCCCCTTTGGCTGGATATAAGAGCAAATTAATATTAGATTTCTAACAGCTAAAAGAGGAAAACAAAGTATAGTCCATTAATAACACTTTCCAACCTTTAGGCGGTTCCTTGTCATTGTCCGGTGGTTCTGGCGCGTCCAGAATCTCGTCCTTTGCTTTGGTTTTGCGTTTGTTTTTGCCTTTTTTCGGCGGGATCAGGGCGCTGCTGGCTTTCTCCCTGTGACCAGAGTTTTCATGCTCTCCTTCTTTACCGTCTCTCTCCTCCTCTTCCTCCTCCTCCTCTTCTTCTCGCTCATTTATTTCTCCCTGATTTTTTTCGCCTTCTTTTTCCTTAACTGACTTCTTCTTCTTCTTTTTCTTCTTCTTTGTGTTCAGCTTCTCTTTGAGAGTGGTGTCCTTTAAAATAGAAGATTTATAAGTTTAATTCACCATTTATTGATAATTTATCAAGGACGTCAACAATTATGACGAACAAAATGTGCAACAGTTATCATTGCTTTTGATTGCATTAGATTTGACAGGTGTTTGAGTGAGTGGATATTTTCCTGACCTTTTGCAGCATGTTTCGAATGGGTTGCAGCTTTCCTTCACCCTTTGTCTTTTTCTCATTTTCTTTTGGACGATGAGCCTGGTGAAGATTTGCCCTCATGGATTTCCTTCTGAAGTTAGAAAGCATTAAACATCAACGGTCCGATAAAGGAGATATTATTCTTTTACCTTCATGTTGACCTGTACCATATGTACAGGTGTAGAAGAAAGCTACGACTGTAAAAGCCTTTCCTACCGTTCTCCTTTGGTTTTCCTTTGAACTTTCTCTGTTTTCCAGGTCTTTTCCCTCTCTCTAGGTTCCAGAGGCCTTTTGCTGTCCTGCACTACGCGAGCGCACAGCTCCGGGTAATCCAGGCAAACCGCCCGCAGCAACCAGCGAAGGCCTCGGTGAGTCTTTCTGTCCGACCAGCGCCGCAGGTCCATTAAGGCAGAACAAGGCTCCTTGGGGAGAGAAGAGAACGGTTGGCCTGTCTTCAAAAGGCCTCCTTTAATTCCCACACGACCCTCACTGTCTGTTGGGTTTTGAATGCTCGAATTTGAACACTTACAATATGGCACAGGGAGCGGCTCTGGTTCACCAGCTTCTCCAGTAACAGAATCTCAATCAACTCATTTCCGAGCAAAGCGTTCATTTTGTCTTGTTTGTTGGCCAACCTGAAAGGAAAAGGTTTTCACACGGGGCCGGAGTCACTCACACTTCCCTCATCTGCCCCCCGGGTGCACTGTTTACGTCGTACGATGCTAGTTAGTTCACACTACGCAAGTATAGTCGAATTACACCAATAGGGGTTTGCCCGCCACTCTCGGTTGCTTCAGCAGGTCAGCGAGGACCTCCTTGACCTCCTTCATCCTCTGCCTGTCGCTGGAGTCCAGCACAAAGACGATCCCGTGGGCCTCTCCATAGAGCTCCCGCCAGGCTCCTCTCGACTGCGCTGACCCCCCCACGTCCAGCAGGGTGACCTGGTAGTTCTCCACTTTCAGCTCACTTCGGACGCAGCCAAGGGTGGGTCCAGCTTCGGCGCCGTGGGGGACTGGGAGTAAGAAGAAGGAAAACCGGCGTAGATCATCTGTTGGGGGTTTCTGCTTTACGCACGTTTTTTTCTTTAATCAGCTCAATTACCTCTTGACATTCCTCTGATTGAGGAAGTTTTTCCTGCTTTGTCAAGACCAACCACCAGAATGGTCACTTTCCTGCAAAGGTAAGTATAGGATTTCACCACCGTACAGCTTCAATGGACAGCCGCAGATTAAAGCACTAACGCCAGACCCCATCAGGGGGCATCAATGGACCTAGTATATGCAATTCACAATGTACAAACTGTGATTCTTTCTATGGCCGTTTGAATTTCTGTCAGAATAACTGTGCATTTCACTCGTTTTTAAAGAAATATGTTATCAGCTACCTGATTGGCTCCTGTATTTTGGAGATCCAGGTGCAGCAGTTGCTCATCAGGTTGAACATGTTTACTTGAGCTGAACAAGGTGAGCACAGCGGCCACCATCTTCTCTGGAACCGGTGCCTGCAAACAGATGGTTGACTCAAGTACTACAGACACACGAATGGGGCCGGTTGAGTCAGTGGGGAGGGGGGGTCACAGCCAGGTTCAACATATATAGGATTCGAAATCTGGGTGATGCTTCAATTTCCTAATGCCTCCTTCTACCTCACGGCAGTGAGATTTATTAGCATTCTTGACTCACTTTAAATTCAAAGTTTATTTTCTCTGCGCGTTCTCGGATTAAAATAATTAATGTTTCTGTCATGTACTAGAGTATGAGGAGTTATCTCAAGACACGCAGCGGGTGTGTCTAAACTAGAGGTGCTAAAAAAAAACAGTTCTGTGCCAAGTGCATCTGTTGAGGCTGTGTAATCTGATAAAGGCAGTTTAGAACCGCTTGACTTAATTGTATTGTTGACTAGCAGAGCAATTGCTTCTGGCTGGAGGAGACAATTACTTCTTCAGCGTTACACTAAGTGAGGATGTTCATGACTGAACATTTTTTACCGGTATCCATTTTCATTTTGACCAAGATTCACGTGTTTTCTCGTTGGATGTTTAAAAAGAACATTAAGTGTATATTAGTGTAAACATTTTTTTTAATAATTTCAGGCATTTTGTTTATTTGACCACATACTGAAGTAATTCTGTTTTATTGTATTGGAGATGTTTATACTTGTGGTAAAACGAGGTGAATATTGGGATTAACACAAATGATTACAAACTCATTGGAGAAGGAACTACTTCATTTTACTTACTGACTAAGTCACATTCAAGAGTTGCACCCTAAATAAAGATGACTGATATAATACATTTAAGAGGATACTTACAGAAGCAAGTCTATGTCCATGCATTCGTCTGGGTGCTCGCCTCTACTAACATGTCGCTTCCTCTTGTTGCTGCGTACTAATCAGGCTCACAGTAAGCCTTTAGTCACCCCATGTAGGAGGTACAACCTGGGAAACGTTGCTTTGGTACTCCAACCAATCCCAGACCCCTCTGAGCCAATCACTAATCCCATTGGATGGCCTGGTTATTCTCGTTAGACCCAACGAAGGTGTGTGGGTCCGACCAGGAAGACAAATGTGTCTTGTGATGTCTGACGCGCGGTGACCTCCTGGAAGTGGTGGCACGCCGAGTGTTTGGACAGGTTTAGCACAACGAGTCACTGTGACATCATAACTATGGTAACAGCCAGGTGGGTTCATACTAACTGTTTAAGCTGGTTGTAACTAACAAGTAGCTGGGTGGTAAACACTGCAGTATTCTGTTCATATTTTATTACGTTGTGGTTTTATTCCATTTTATTATTTTATTATACCATTTTATTCTATTTTTTATTTGCATTTTAAATTCCTTAGTTCAAAATATTCTTTCAGTGTAAAAATGAAGATGGAAATAAACAAGATTAGAGTTCAGTTTAGTTTATTTACAATAGAAACACAATATCATACACAAATACATTGAAGTCCGACTTATAAATATAATTATCTAACTAGAAAATAATTGATTTTCAGCTACAACAGTGGTTCACTAACATTTGCAGAGAATCAACACATTACAAAATGGTTAAAGCAATTACAAAGCCACTCCAACACTTGTAACGCAGCACGAGCCACTAGATGGCCTCAGGATGCCAGGATCTATTTCCACGGCCACAGAACACTGTGCACATTGTGGTCTCTGTAAATAATAACGTCTCTGCTTAGGTCCTTGACATGCTGCGATAAATGGCTGAGGCTGGATTTCAGTCTAATCGAATCTAAACGGACATACTTCTCATTTGCAGCCTCTATTCAAAGGAACCACAACACTGATTTTTTTTTCAATTTCCTAATGTTTATAGAGGGAAATCAAACAAAAATGGACAGAGTACTACAAAGCAGAGCTTCTACATTTACAATGAAATGATAGATGTTTATGACTTGGAGCAATGGTTTCATTGCCTTATCCCATGTTATTGTGCCAACGTCCAATCAGGCTCTGTCCTCTTCTGCTGACTAGACTCATCCCAGAATGACCACAGCCCTGCGTCAGCTGACACACACACACACACACACACACATATAGCAAAAACAGCAGCAGCTGAGGACACCCCCCTCCCGATCTGCCCATGTTCTCCAAATATGTTTGAAAAAACCCTGACCGCTGACATTGCAAACTGGGTTACAGCGGAACTATTTCACACTTTCTACTAAAATACATTAGAAAGGAATGGATCAATATTTTCTCGCCGTTAATTACATGACATCATGCCTATAATGGTTAATGTATTGAATTACAGTCGGGACAGTTAGATTAGCTTAACTTAGCATAAGGACTGGCAACTGAGGGAAACATCTCGTAAATGAAAAAGAAGTACCAGCAAGTTTAGTAATGTAACACTTAATACCTGGTTTGTCCAAATTTGTACTAAAAAACGTCTAATAAATACAACAGACAAGATCTAACCTGTCATCTTGTGAGCTTTAGAGGCGCTGCCAGAGCTTTTTCTTAAGCTTGGAGAATTATAAACACGGACAAAGAGTTGAATTATTTCTATGAGCGCACTGTGCACGTGGCCGGTGTTCGGCGATGAGGTTTCTGTACCCCGTTGTCTCCGCAGAGCACACAGCCTCTGCAGTCTGAAGTCACTGAGCCAAACCACTGCATCACCAGACACGTGCATAAGTAATGGCACTAGTCACTGACTAGAAGAGATGTGGTTAGACAGAGAGAGATTGGCATGTTTGAGTTGAGCCGTGTTGAAACTAGACCACCGATTAGTTAAAAATAAACAGTCAAAACTTCCTTTGTAGTAATTCTTCCAAACTGGAAGTTCAAATTATTCTTCAGTCAACGTATTTGGTTTATGCAAAGTGAGAGTTAATGTTGACATCCACCTAAGCAACAAAGAACAGCTTTGCAAAGGAAATATTTCACTACAGATTGTGTCCGTCACGTTGACCTCCCAAACGAGAATCCTTGTTTGCATAAGTTGTCGAGCAAACAGGGTTCTGCTCTGGGTCACACAGCGTTGTGGTTGTCCAATGAGCCTTTAGCCATAACACATTGTAAAATAATGAGAAAAGTGTACAACAGGATGGCATTGTAATTGCTGTGTGTGTGTGTGTGTGTGTGTGTGTGTGTGTGTGTGTGTGTGTGTGTGTGTGTGTGTGTGTGTGTGTGTACTGCAGCTGGTTGTGTGGGAGCTTCCCTCTCAGGCCTGCAAGTCACCATAATATGGATAAAAGGGGCAGCTAAAAAAAAAAAAAAAACATGTAATAACAAGGCCAAGTCTTCCCTGCCAGTGGGAACTAAAAATGGAAGTGCAGAGAAACTGATCTGTCTTTGCTCGCCCCACACAGTGCTTCTACTTGGAAAGGACACATGATGGGTGAAATGAAACCGCAGAGCATCTCTAACTGTATCAGTTAGTTCGGCAAACATAGTCTACTAGTCTATTTAATGTTAAAAAATGAATTGTAGTGTTTCACTCAATTTACAATGAAACCCTATTTTTCATAAGTGATTATTGTAGTTCATCAAACGTGGTATTAAATATTACAACATTGGTAGTATAGGGTTAGTAATGAGTAGCGGGGATAGTTGTAGTAGTACAGCAAACAGTCGTTCTCAAAGTCACAATGACCTGAGCAAAATGCCACATGACGGGCTGCTCAAAATAGCCTGGCCAAGCACCAGATGCATTCAGACACATTTCCTCAGTTTATATTTACATTTCAACTGTGCAAGAATACGTGTTCAAGAATTGGAGCCTGGTCGGGGTTATCAAAAATTCAGCCGAACAACTTCTCTCGTTCTGGGAGATTTATTTGTCAGATCACAGGCAGTTCAGGCAGCACACAGGCCAGAAGAACAACTAACTAACATCAGCAAGAACATCATGTTTTATAACCCTTGAAAGACAGAGAAGGAAAGATTTTTATTGGCCCTAAACTAGCGTAGAGGAGGACCTCTAAAGATCCGGTCACATCCAATGTCCAAACTCCTGACTTAACGTAAACATCAACGAACAGAGTGTGTATGTTGAATAGTGTTGGTGTGTCTCTAGACCCCCCTTTTGCTGGCAAATCTGCTAGTTGACCCGCAGATCTTGCATTCCTCAGCCAGGACATAAACTGACTCCCCATCCTGTCAGACTCGTGTCTGCCTGCTCGGCACATCCTGCGTCCCCCCTTACCTAACTCTTAAATCAAGACAAGACAGCGAACCCCCAACTAAGCCCATGAAAAGAACTTTTGATTATCAACTGTCTTTATGGTATTATCTACATGCAATGCACATCCCCGCCTTATTGTTCTCAAGTTCCATGTATTGCTTTGTCTGCAGAGCTAGCAGATGCCACTCCTTGGGATGTTTGAGTTTGCGTTACTTTTGGCTCCATAAAAATACACCTTCCCTGTATAGTCTATTAATTACCTCTACTTGGTACTAGGTACGTGTATATGTATATATATAAACATATATGCACATTCAGTGTCTGATCTTCCGTTACTCAATCTTCTGTTGAGTAAAGTTGTACCTTTCACCTCTAATCTCTCTTACTTTGAAGGCAGCCGCCTCACTTCCGGTATCTCCCCGTGTGCCTCGCGCTGCGACAGCTGTTGCCCTGACAGCGGAGCAGAAGACCTGAACAACCGCCCCAAAAAGCGGCGGGGCAAGCGGCACCAGTATGCCGATACGACACCACCCTGACGTCAAGCTACCGGACACGGCGACTCCACGGCGGGACCAAACCTCTGCGTGTCACCACCATCATTTCTCGTTTCTGTCACCCTGAAGTCCGACGTCGCAACAGCAGCGCGGATATCGCTGCAGAAGGCGGGGTGGTTGTTTTTTTCCCCCGAGGAGCGTTCAACCGGACGGTTACGCCACGTAACGTTAAGTGAATATACGAGAGACCCCCCCCCCAAACTCACCTAAAAACAAAACAAGGTCTGTTTGTTGAGTTAAAGGCGATGTGAAAACAGCGATGATCAACTCCGGGGGAAGTTGGGAGAGACGGCGAAGCACGCGACGTATTTACAACAAGACCAAAAAAAAGTGATTTTTTTTTTCTTTTCTTTTTTTTTAAGCCGCAAGTTGCTACGAGCTGCTTCGGCGACGTTTCTCGCGTGTCCACTATGCACGGGGTGACCGTGGAGGAGCCGGAGGGGGAGCTCTCCGACGTGGACCCGCGCGGCTCGGTCACGCTGGCGGTGAACCGCAGCCGGATCCGGCCCCCCTTCAGCGTGCTGCTGGCCACCGCGCTCTACTGCGCGGAGTTCGTCGCCGCCGCGGTGCTGTGCAGCCTGTACCGCAAGACCGACGACGTCATCTGGCTGGGATTCACCGTCGCCTTCATGCTGCTGCCCGCGCTGCTCATCCAGCTGGCGCTGACGTTCATCCACAGGGACCTGGGTCGGGACCGGCCCATGGTCCTCTTCCTGCACCTGCTGCTGCTGGGGCCCGTCATCAGGTGGGTGGTGGCTCGTTCGTGCAAAGGCACGCAGCCTTTTTGTTTTAAAATGCTCCTGGAACTTTTGTGTTTTTGCATGCGTCAGGGTGTGTGTACACTTTCAGTTCTGTCGGTGGTCGAGGGGGATTTGTACTAAATGACCCCAAAAGGCATGCACATAAATCACGTCTTCCCAAACTGGCATTGTTGTTGGAATTTCAAAGCTTTTACTGGTTCCACATTCTCACATGGGAGGATGTTGTGCTTTTCTACTTGGAAATTAAATTATTGGTTTGAGCAAACTAGCAGAGACAACATCCTCAACTCTATTAAGACGGTTCCTCTCATCTGACATGCAGGAAACCAAACGATTGAATGAGATATTCATCGATAATGGGGGGGGGGAGCTTTACCGACAGCCCCCACATCTTACTTACATCTCACTGCACATGCAACTTCCACCGTCCATTTGCGGTGCTCTTAATGGGCCGCAAATCGACCGTCAGTGCTGAGTGCGCGGAGGCGCTGGCCGTCAGTTGCCATCCATCTGCTGCAGGTCATCACTTGCATCTGATCAAGCTCGTTCATTTGTAATGATGGACTGGTGCACTGAGTGGGAGTCAGATCTGGCAACTCGTTGATGTGCCATCGTGGACAGCCTGTCCATGGGGGACGGGAGGATGGTGAGGGGCCGAAAATAACGACCTCACGCGTTGTCGAATGGAGATGGAAGTAAAATATACAAAGGGAGAAGGAAGGCCTGTGGGGTGGGGGGGGGGCTGCAGAGCATTAAATCCAAACGTTCTATCTTGGTTCTGTTCTTTGTGGAGGATCAACGCCTCTTTTTGAGGGGGGTGTTTGTTGAACCGATACTCACACAGGAGTCTCTCGCTTTTCTCTCCATGTGAACTTTGAAACGTTAACAGTGAGCCCCGAGGTGTTGCTCTTAATCTACAGTAGTTGGCAGATGGGTGTGGTGCTTCTCAGGTGGACACGAGCCTCCTCGGCAGGAAAACGTTGCTGAAAGGTTTATGAATGACTTGATTTGTAGCTACATTTACACAAAACAGTTTGCAGACACAAAAGAAACGATGTAGAGTGAAGGAAGATCTAGTAGAGCAACACGTAGAAGACAGGAAACAGTATTTTCTATGCTGAACTAACAGGTTGGATTCCAGTGCTGCCTTATTGCAATGTAGCCCTTAACAACTCATATAACTGCATTTTTTCAGAATACGGCACAAAGCTCACATTCTTGGATTCTTGTGATATATGTAATGTGGGTCAAAGTTAGGAGGACAAAACTATATTTACATGTGCATATATTAAGCAGAAGAAGAGACTTTCAGAATAAAATAGACCACCTGCAGCTCCGCAGTCTATTTCCATCTTGAGTGTGAGTCAGAAGTCTTTGAATATCACGTCGGACATATTTTTGGCCGTGAGGAGCTTTTAGAGTAACAGTGCTGGTTATTGACGGTCTGGACTTCTGGGGATGATTCTATTTAGGGGAGACTTTTATTTTTGAATGTTTGAGGAGGTCAGATGACGGATTATTATCTCACCAGACTTCTGCATTCTTGTCTCCTCTTGAGGATTCACCCAATGAGCTGAAGTGGAGGAAATGTAGTCGCCATGTTGTGACAAGGATCAAAAATGTTTGGAACGAAAGAGAGAATTCTTTTTTAACCTGTCCGTCGGGAGTACAAAAATTGTAAGTGGAAGGAGCATTAGCGACCGTCGCCCGCCCAAAGATCTCCCAGCCCGTTGGCTCACTTGACCATAGCACTTGAATATCGCCATGTTTCAGCAGCCAAAACAACAGGTGGAAGAGTGAAACATCATGAGGGAACGTCAGTGGGATCCATCCTCTGGAGACCATGAATATCGGTGACAACATGTCATTACATCCTATCCAATAGTCGTTTGGGTGTTTCAGTCTGGGCTCAGCGGACGCTGTGATCCCGAGACGCACTGACCATGAAGCAGCTTTTGATATCAAAGAGATCTTGCGTCTCTGTTATTTTTATAAACGCTTTTATCTCCCTCATCACACGCTGCACTGGGCTACATTTTGTTCTGTATTTTTCAGTTTTATTTCAAGCTGTTTTTGTTCCATGTGTGCTGCTGTAAATAAATAACTTCCGCTCCCTCCCGCCTCAGATAGGTGGTTTCCTGTGTGACTCAGGGGTTCATACATATCTGATGTCACAAGCGGGATCGCTTCACTTATAACTCCACGAAATGAACCCTTCCAAAAGCCCTGTCTTGGTTACATTGGAGTCTAGCAGAAGACGCACAGTATCCATCGCTGGAATTTCAGTGTGCGGGTTTCGGTTATTTGCCACCCGTCCTAACTTGCCTCCTCTGTCAACCGGGGGCCCGTTCGGGCATGCAGAGCTGCTCCGTGTTTGTTTGTGTTTCACAGAGTCTCCCCAGTCACACCAGGCTGTGATGGTGTAAGCGCGACGAGCCGATGAGCTAATCCCAGCTGACCAAAACAAGAGGATCACGCTAAAGAGCCACTGAAAGAATTTCCCGAATGCTCCTCCGCCCTCCAGTAAGAAAAACGGCCTCAATGAATCGTCGCAGCAGTTCGGCTCAGCGGCTCAGCTTGGTCCGTGGGGGGAGGGGCGTGGGAGGGGGTGAGCGAGTTCAGCTTGTGCGTTTCCTTTAAAAAAATCCATAAGTCACTATATTGATTCCCTAATGCTGTTCATGGGCCCTGCTGTTTCTTTCCCACCCTCCCCTGAGTGAAACTCGGTCCGCCGCACCGTCTGAACGCTGAGTGCACGCTGGCAGAAGCTCCGCACCGTCACTCTGCATCCCCGGCGCCATTGTGCTGCCGGATTGCCACGGGGAAGGATGTCAATAAATCAGGTTCTGCTCTGTCCCTGTGAACGCTGAAGCTGGAAAAACCCTGATCCACATGTGGCTCTCAGCCGGAGCGGGTGAATGTGTTTAGAGGTATAAGAGCGTGTAGCCAAACAAAAGCATCCCCCCCCCTCCCCCCTGGCAGCCTCGACTCTGTGGGTCAAACACAGTTCAGCACCGTCCCTCATGTACACTGCATGTAAAGCTGCACAATCTCCCTCCCAGCAGCTGCAGCATCTGTCTGGAGAATCACATAGTTGAAATGATTCAAGTGTCCGGTGCAAAAGGTGGAGATTTTTGACGCAAAATATGACATTCCTGCTCGGTGATGTGAGCTTTAGTGCTGCAGTGAGAAACCTCAGAGGCCGAGGTGTGTGTGTGTGTGTGTGTGTGTGTGTGTGTGTGTGTGTGTGTGTGTGTGTGTGTGTGTGTGTGTGTGTGTGTGTGTGTGTGTGTGTGTGTGTGTGTGTGTGTGTGTGTTAAACGCACATGTGCAGGGGTTCTAACACTATGGTATTGGTAGGTGGGTGGAAATTTTGTACTTCCCACTTACTCTCCAAGTTCACACTCCCAGGTAGTTTCCTGGTGTGTTTCTCTGAAACAGAGAAACGGCAGTCTGGAAGCGTAACATTTCATCTAGAAACAAATACGTTTCAAACTCCGGCTGGGAGGTTTTTGCAGAAAGCTCTCAGTGCAAAACCGGTTTCCCTCCCGGTGATTAGTGCTGGTTTTGATTGGTCAGAACACTGGGAGCATTTTCCTTGGAAACATTCAGAGAACCGCACCCTGAGCTGTTCAGTTGATCCTGAACGGCCTGCTTCCCTTTCTACTGACTGCCCTCTGCTGGATTCTCAGTGCTGTGTTTACGTTTGTTTAGCTGTGATTCACAGACAGGTGTGTTTATTATGCTGGATCCCTTATGTGAGAAAATTTTGACAACAAAATGCTGGTTGAGAACCTGTTATTTTCCTTCTTTCCACTCGTGTGTTTGCTCACGTTCACACTGTGATGGTTACATGTTGAAGCACACGACACGCTGGGCTCATTGTGCCGATTGACACATGGCACGGCACCGCCCTGCGTGGGTGTTAAAAAACGTGACCCGGCTCTAAATCGCCCTTCTGTTTCATCCATCCAGGTGTTTTGAGGCTCTGGTGATTTTCATCAAGGCGGGTAAAATAGAGAACGAGCCTTATGTCACCATCTCCAGGCAGAAGAGTCTGAAGAAGGGCCAGGAAGGGCTGATGGAGTGGGAGATCGGCCGATCGGAGCGCAACCTGGCCACGCACAGGGACGCCTTCAAACGCACCGCCGTCATCCAGGCCTTTCTGGGCTCCGCGCCTCAGCTGACGCTGCAGCTGTACGCCAGCATCCAAGAGAAATACTTACTCCCTGCCAGATGTGAGAATGGTGGCGGGGCGGAGGTCCATGCGGCTGTAGGAGTATGTTTTAAAAGGGGGGCTCTCTGAATAATGAGACCAGCCAGTGAATAAACACACACTTTTGTTTATTAATGGAAATCAGACAAATGTCTGGAGATTGAGTGAGTGCAGTGTGAAATAGTGATTTATCAAATCTCAATCTGCTCACTGAAGCTCTATTTAGAGTGCAGACACAGCCGTGCTAAATGCTAAAAAGTTTCTGTGTCCAAAAGTACCGGATAAAATACACAATTTGACCTGTCGCCGGCGCCAGAGTACAAAGGAAGTGATCAAACCCTCAGAGGGACCAGGAAACTGCTTCAATTATTTTCCTTACCACGGATCTTTTACGTTTGAATTATTTCAAGATTATGATCTCCATTTTATAGAAGACCTATAGTAAGGGAATACATTTGAACAGATATTTAATCATTTAGATTATCCATCGTTTTAAGAGTTCTGTGCGCTCGAGGTTCGATCAGGAAGCTAACGGGTGACTTGTGTTTGTTCTCCCAGTGGCTGTGATGATCATCACCCTGATCTCCATCACATACGGGGCTCTCGTGTGCAGCACGCTGGCCATCCAGATCAGATATGACGACTACAAAGTGCGCATGCGCCCCATGGCCTACCTGTGCATGATTGTGTGGAGGGGCTTGGAGATCGCCACCCGGATCACCACCCTGGTCCTCTTCAGCACGGCGCTCACCTACTGGGTGATCCTGGTCGGCATGGTCAACCTGCTCTTCTTCTTCTTCCTCCCCTGGGCCGAGTTCTGGGCCAGGAAAGGCTCGCTGACGCAGGACGTGGAGAAGAACTTCTCCAAGCTGGGCACCACGGTGGTGCTGTCCATGTTCACGCTGCTCTACGCCTGCATCAACGTGTTCTGCTGGTCGGCGGTGCAGCTGGACTTCTCCCACCGGGAGCTCATCGAGAGGAAGCAGCAATGGGGCCGCCTGGCCGCGTACTACGCGGCGCGCTTCCTGGAGAACTTCCTCCTCATCGGGCTCTGGTACCTCTTCAAGTCGGACTTCTACGAGTACGTGTGCGCGCCGCTGCTGGCCGTCCAGCTGCTGATCCTCTACGGCCTGGCGCTGCTCTTCATGCTGCTCTTCTACCAGTTCTGCCACCCCTGCAGGCGCCTCTTCAAGTACAACGTGCACGACTGCCTGCACTGCTTCTGCTGCCGCCCCGGCCGCGGGGCAGCGAGCCGCAGCCGGGGGAAGCTGCCGCACTCTTACTCCACCGCGGCCACCATGGTGCTGATGCCGGAGGAGCCGCTGGAGCTGCTGGGCCCCCGGCACTCGCAACCCGTCGGCTCGCGGGGAGAGAGGGAGATGGACGTTGTTGACATGACGGAGGCAGCATGAGCAAGGCTTTGTTCTCTGATGTAGAAAGGCCGCTCGGCTGGCGCCGCACCAACGGAGAGACACCCCGAGTACTTTACCACAAAACACACGTTTTCTTTGAGACGAGGACGTAATAAACTATTTCTCTGGAGTGCACGTAGTTCAGTTACATCTGTGTGGTTGTGAGAGAGAATCGGGTTCCCTCCTGAACACGCACACTTGGGGGGGGCACAGCGAGGGCCCCCCCCCGGCACCGCAAAGAATGTAACGCGCCGAGATGCGCAGCGATGCACAAAGGCCGCCTTGAGAGAGCAGCAGTGGGCCACGAACGGGACCGAGCCAGGTGTGCGGGAACCATGCCAGGACTGACCGGGGCAGCCCCCCCCCCTCCCTGGTTCCCGTCCTCTCAGGGAACTCGACCCTTTGCACACGTTGACAGCGCAGGTCGACAAGAGAACACGCAAACGCGCGGCGGTAAATGTCTGGTATTGTTCACCGCTGTCTGGTGGCCTTCATGCATGAAAAACAACAGGTTTTTAGTTTTTTCCTAAATGATTTGTGAAAACATTCAGCGTGTGTCGTTAACTTCCCAGTTGATGATGCGTTCACTTGTAGTTTAAGTGCTTTGAAAGTTGCCTCATTTTTTTTTTTAACCCCGACCCTTCAGTGCCTTGACTACTATTGTTTTACCTGAGACCTAAATAAAAATAATCTGATGTTGACATTTCAAATTGTATTTCTTTTTCACTTCATCTATCGGGCGTCACGCTTTCGACACTCACACAATAAACCTTTTTATTCTTCCCGAAGTCGTCACCGGCCGAGCTTCCAGTATGTCGCAAGGAGGAGTCCTACTTCCTCATTCCGGGCGTCCCGATTAACTTTTACCTGAGTTCGCGACAGGTGGGAATGCGGTCATTCAGCATCAGGGGGGAAAACCTCTAAACTGCCCCGACGGCTCCGGAGGGACAGGAGCCGTCGGACAGGGACAGACGGAGGGAGGGGGAGGGGCGGGGGGAGGGGGGAGGGGAGGGAGGAGTCCGGATCGTGGAGGATAAAAGTAAAGGTGGAGGTGCGCGGAGGATTCTGCTGCAGAGTTTGAGGTTAAGAGCTCGACATGGCGAACTGGATTATCAACAATGGACTTACAGCTTTCATACTGGTGAGTTCTGCCGGTTTACGCGTTAGACGTCTGCTAACTCGTTTTTCTTCATAGGTGACTATTTTACACACAGTTACAATGCGCAAAAAAAACGAAAAAGTCAAACGTAATGAACATCAACGTGTTTGGTCAAGAGTCCTGCAAATGACATTAAAGTGAATTTGAAGGACTAATTGGGTGATTGACAACAAGATCCTGGCTTTGTTCGCAGGTGGTCTGGATGGCGATCAACATCTTCCTTTTCCTTTGGTTTTACTTCTTCTACGATTTGGGGGACGAGTACATCTACACGCGTCATCTTTTAGGGGTGAGTCCGCAAAGTAGACGTCTCGGACTTTGGACTTTCTCTACATGCGTCTTGCATCTTTAGTTTGAACCAGAACATTACAGTTAGAAAGCACTAAATCACGCAGCTGTATCGCTACAACAGTATTTAAACCAACATAAAGTAATGCTCCTTTGTTACTTTGAGTATATTTTGTGACCATGCACGTTTTTGCTCCAGTCCGCCTTGGCCTGGGCCAGAGCTCCTGCAGCGGTCCTCAACTTCAACTGCATGCTGATCCTCCTCCCGGTGTGCAGGAACCTGCTGTCGCTCATCCGAGGCTCCTTCATGGTGAGAACAACACGCACAGCGATGCTGTGAATGTCAAAGAAGGGCGAGGTCCGCGAGAGTGGTGATTAACATACAAACTAGTTTGACTGCAAAAAGCTCAAACCGCTTCATTGGGTCATTTTTGGGGATGGGTCAACGTTCATTATCCGCCGACTGAATTTCCTTTTTTGTCTTTTTAGTGTTGTGGGAGAACAATGAGGAAGCAACTGGACAAGAACATAAGCTTCCACAAGCTGGTGGCGTACATGATCGCGCTAATGACAGGTAATCTTATCTTCAATTCTGACTTTTGCTTTTCTCCTGACTAAATAACTTTATTTAAAGATAAGATTACTGAATGCTTTGTTTATAGAGATGGAATCTTGGAAAGCCTGTATTCATTTTAACCGGATCATAGGAGCAGGTTTAGTTGGAGGTTTTCCTTTGGAATAAAATAAACACAAACAAGACATGAACTCCGCTTCAGCGATTTTTCAGATTTTAAATTTGATGTGTGCTTTCCGCTCTGAGTAAATACAGTACACTGGTTTCCTCCCGACGTGCAAACCTGTCTGACCTGCAGCTTATCAAGTAGTTTACGAAACGGAAATGGATCAAAAAGAAAAAACACTGAGAACCAGTTTGCAGTCCTTGCTGATGGCAAAAGGAAATAAAATATTATCTTCTGTTTTCAAATGTGATGCGACAACATCGTTTTGGGATATTTTGTGTCCTCCTTACCGCCAGCAGAATCCTCCAGCATTGTGAACCCGATGGACCTTGATGCTGGAGCATCGAGAGCGGAGACAGCGTGCCAGTGGCACCATTAGCTCAGATATATGAACCTTCACATCGGCTTTGACAAATCTCATCTTATCTCACGGTTTTCGCATCAAAAAGAATGAGGCAGATTTGGGCAATGTTATGCTTGTATCAACAGTCACTCTGCGGTTTGACTTTCAGTGAATATTGATTCTTTTCTTTTCGATCCTCGGATCTGTTGCCTCAAACTGGCCTACCAAAAACCTAACCACGACCCTTTTGACCTCTGCGTGTGTGTGTGTGTGTGTGTGTTCTCACAGCCGTTCACATGATCGCCCATCTGATCAACGTGGAGTGGTACAACAACAGCAGGCGAGGAAGTTATGATGAACTCAGCACGGCTCTGTCCAACCTGGAAGACGACAACGGCGACGACGACGACGACAACGCCACCACCTACCTGAACCCCATCCGCACCACAGACATTGTGAGTTTACGCAACTTTTGATGATGAAATAAAACCCACGCAGATATCTAAAAAGAAGCTTGTGTGTCTTCCCGTCCTCCCGTGTCTCAGAATGCACAGCAGACCCCGACGTACTTTGTCTTCACCTCCATCGCTGGCCTCACCGGCGTCATCATCACTCTGGCTCTCATCCTCATCATCACCTCCTCCATGGAGGTCATCAGACGCAGCTACTTTGAGGTTTTCTGGTACACCCACCACCTCTTCGTGGTCTTCTTCATTGGTCTGGTGATTCACGGAACGGGGTGAGAGAAAAGTCTCCTGTGTACTTCCTTTTGAAAGCGCTGCTGTTGTTGTTGTCGCGAGTAACGGGTTTCACTGGTTTTTGCAATCTGCAGATACATTGTAAGGAAGCAATGGAACATGGAGCTACATAACGTGACGTTTTGTAGAGGCCGAAGTAGCGATTGGGGACGGATTCCCCAGTGTCCCGTCCCTCAGTTTAAAGGAGGGCCGGCACAGGTTTGACTTGAATGCATCTCAGAGTTCTCAGAATTTACGCTTAGGTCGGTTTCTGCCTCTGCAACGGCGGATAATATCTTTTATTTCATTAAACATCTATGTTTGTTTGTTTGTTTCAGACCTGGTGGTGGGTGATCGGACCCATGGTCCTGTACATCTTCGAACGCGTGCTGCGTTTCATTCGTTACACCCAGGCTGTAACGTACAGGAAGGTACGCTTTGAATTGAATCTGACATTTCAGCTCGTTTGGCAGACGATGAGAATGCTTTTTAAACCCGTTTCTCTTTTTTTTTTTTACATTTTTTTTTTTTTTAATTTCATTTTCAGATTGTGCTGCATCCCTCCAAGGTGCTGGAGCTGCAGCTGATAAAGAACGGCTTCAAGATGGAGGTGGGCCAGTACGTCTTCCTCAACTGCCCGCAAATCTCCCAGCTGGAGTGGCACCCGTTCACCATGACCTCCGCCCCCGAGGAGGACTTCTTCGCTGTGCACATCCGCTCGGCCGGGGACTGGACCGATAAACTCATCGACATCATGCAGACGCTTCCGGAGGGAGCACAGGGACCCAAGTGAGTCCACGAGTTTTTCACGGGTTATTTCTAATTTGGTGTGAGTCAGTGTCCTATTAAACTGTCAGCAGATCATCCAAATCAAAAACAAGGGCGGGCAACGCAAACTAGTTCATGCCAAAAATACTTTGGTATGTGGCATCGGTTTATTGCTCTGGAAAAAAAAAAGAATGATCGAGTCAACAAGAAAAGCTTTACAGCAAATGCAAAATGCACAAAACGAGCCTTGATGGATTGATGTTTTAAGAATGGGGGTGGACGGACCATTCGGTACCGCCAGCGAGGACGTTTTCGACTACGAGGTCAGCATGCTGGTTGGCGCCGGCATCGGGGTCACGCCCTTCGCCTCCATCCTCAAGTCGATCTGGTACAAGTTCAAAATCTCCAACCCTAATCTGCGCACCAGAAAGGTGAGAACTCAAGACGCCCATATCATGTCGCAATCCCCCGCTGTGCACACGTGTCATTATCTATCTAAATATAGAACACATTCCAGCCGTGTTGCAAACGGTCACCGCTGGCCCGCTCTTCAGTGGGAGGATCATTGTTAAACACGCCTGCCTCTCACTTCCTGCTTTCAGATCTACTTCTATTGGATCTGCCGGGAAACCCACGCCTTCGAATGGTTCGCCGACCTCCTGCAGGGGCTGGAGAAAGAGATGGAGGAGAGGGGCATGGCGGATTTCCTCACCTACAAACTCTATCTGACCGGATGGGATCAAGGCCATGTGAGTTTGTGTGTGTGTGTGTGTGTGTGTGTGTGAATCCCAGCGCAGACGAACCGGGCTGGCGTTCAGCTCGTCTCATTCATCTGTCTCGTTTGAGCGCAGGCTAATCACGCCCGGATCCACTCGGACAAGGACACCGACGTGGTGACCGGCCTCAAACAGAAAACCAACTACGGCAGACCCGCCTGGGACAAGGAGTTCGAGCAAGTCCGCAAAGAAAACCCCACGTGAGAGGAAAATCTGAAAATTGGTTTAAATAAAATTGATACCTTTTTTTTATTAGAACGCAGAGGACTGAGTGATGTTTAGTATCATCACCAAAATGTACTTTAATCACTACAATAAGTACTGCTTCTGCAGAAAGGCTGACTTAAGCCTTATTTTGTTGCAGCCGGTTTTAGATACTTTATATTCACAATGATAGAAAGTACTTTTATTCTATTATGCGCTTTATTTTTCATCCTATTTTTAGGTTGAATTATGTCTGTTTCCCTTTGTTGTAAAGCACTTTGCACATCATATCTTCTCTGAAAGGTGCTATACAAGTTGGTATAGCATCATTTTTTGCATGGATTGTACTTTTCACGTTTGGAACTTTAACGTCTTTTCTCTCCGCCACGTTCTCAGGTCGGTGGTGGGAACGTTCTTGTGTGGCCCGGCGGTTCTGGCAAAGATCTTGGGGAAAAAATGTGCCAAATACTCAGACGTGGATCCCCGGAAGACCAGATTTTACTTCAACAAGGAGAACTTCTGAGTAGAAAAAAACAAACCGGAAGCAGCATTTGGGCATTTAAGGGAAAGGTTCTGTATTATTTGAAGAAAATAAATGACAAAAGCTTCCCGGCAACCTGTCGTTACAGCTGGGCGTGTTTTAGACGCCGGGAAAGAAGTTTATCTACAATGCTCAGGGCCACTTTATTCTTTTCATCCATGACAAATGGGGAGTTTCCACTTTGAGTCATTGTTTATACGGTTTAACACACACAAGCTCATTGCAGCACACAACACACTGAATGTGTTTTACTGTTACAACGTGGCAAGACCTCAAATATTTAGTCTTCATACCATATTTAACACTTCATGTAATTGTTCCTTTGCTACTACAGCAGCTCGATCACATAATCTTGCTTTTATCAGTCAGAAAAAAAGTTGACACATTAGTTTCTCAGGTCCCACGTCAATGATTTCTCATTTGATCTTACCAAGAGAATCAAAAATAAAGTTTACCTTTGGGTACAAAGAAACTAATTGTAATCAAAATTGTAGATGGACTAACTGCCCAGAATCATATTTTCTTTCACGAGACAGCTTGTTTGTAAATACTGTAAATACGTGTTTATCACAACTCTGCTTTCACTGGAATTTCCGCATTAGCGACAGAACGAGGAAGACTTCCTGTAGGTTAGTCGTCTCGCACAAGTGGAACTTATTGTGTTTCTTGTATACAAATAAAGTTTTGAAATAAATGAATACAAATGTTTTTCTGTTTTATTGACAAAACATCCAGACTTTTTCCAAAGCCAACAACACAAAAACAGTCGTCTCTGGAGAAAAAAAAGATGAAACTTCACGCTCATCGATCCCAGCTCTTTTAAATCGATAAGCAACCTTACTCTTTCATACGAAAAAGAAAAAACTATACAATGCTCTAAAAGAGAGGGAGGGAGTCCTGAAATCAAAGCGTGTAAAACAACCATTTAGAATAATCAATAATAGTCAAATGACAGCATCGCTCCACTCTTCCAGGGCTGGAGTTTCCTGGAGGATCGGAAACAGAACTTCATCTTGGCCTACTTGAAACGTCTCTTGAGAGCTGTCCGTTTTTCAGTCGGCCCATTACGGCGCCCCCCCTGCAGTCTTCTGAATCTGCTCCTTGAGGATGAGGATGCTCTGCCGCTGCTCTGGGGGCAACATGGCGATCTGTTCCGGGGTCAGCTGCAGGACCTGCATAATCAGGGCAGCCTAGAGAGGGACAAAGAGAAAGGTCAAAACGGGAGGTCGCGATGCACAAAGGGGGCGGGCACTTTGCTCACAGACAGAGGGGACAGATTAAGTGGCACCCACCTTCTCCTGGTCCTGTGTGGAGACTTGGCTCTGCCCGGGACTGAATCCGCCTCCTGATGGAGGGCCGCCGGAGATACCAGAACCCTGCAGAACAATCGTAGATTTCTTCTTCACCCGACTTCACGGTGCTCAATGTAATGTCAAGTCGATGTTTATCAAGAGGGGATTCTAATTCCATGTAAAGAATCTCTACTATTACTTGCTTAGTAGTTATTAACTTAAGATGGAAAACAGCTGGCACAGATGGAGACATTGGATTACCGCTCGTGGAGGTGGAGGTGCGTTTGGACCCATGTTATGAGGAACAGGAGCTTGCATTCCGGTCGCCATGGGAACCCTCTGACCAGTCACTGGGCCACGTGCGTCCATCGCCCTCGGGTCGCGACCTGCAGGAGGAAAACAGACAAAGCGTTAAAACCCGGCTTAGTGTTGAGTGGTGTTGGTCCGTTCAGAGGAGGTAAATTCTAGCGAACGTATGTTGAACATTGAAGAGCGTTTCGCATTTACATCCCTCTGAAAGAAAGTGAACTATACTATTACATTAAACCTATAAAGGCGCCGGGAAACAGAAAAAGATCACGGAAGTATTGAAAAGAAGGAAACAAAAGTGAGAAAAGGCGTGTTTTTATCCTGGAAAAAGATCTCGCCGGGACAAAAGGCTTTTGTTGGCTTCTTCCTCTGAAACTGATGCACAAAATGTTGACCTCATGCAGGCACCCGTCACATGCGGTACGTTTCCCGACCCATAATCCCATTGAGCGGCTACCTCGGGTTTCCATCGGGGGGCCGCGGGGCTCCATCATGGGGGGCCCTCTGGGGTCACCCATCATGTTGCGTGGTTCACCCATGGGCGGGCCTCTCATGTCCATTGGAGGCCCTCTCATATCCGGAGGGGGTCCGCTTGGCATTTGGCTCATGTGCACAGGTGGGGCTTGATGGGGCGGCGGCGCTGCCATGTAACCTCGGCTAAATAAAAGAAAAAAAGAAAAAGGAAGCTGAAAAGTGAACTTTGAATCGTTTTCTTTGGGCCTCATAAAAGCTGAAACGTTTTCAACCGCTGCTCCAGTTGAATACACAACTTCTCCCGGTTTAGAAGACCGTGCTCACTAAAAGCGTAACAACAGAAATGAGAATCTAAGGAAGGATTGAAGCTTGCAGCGGGCTGCGTGGGGGTCTTACCTGGGCTCGATGACCTCTCCCGTGACGGACAGCAGAGTTCCTCCTCGGGGGTCGTTGGGGCCGTCTCCCAGCAGGCCTCGGGGGGGGATGCCGCCTGGTCCTGAGAGGCAAAAAACAAAAAAAATCCACACATTCAACCCTTTAAAAAAAAGAAAACACACACCAAGCAAGCTTTTCTTCTTTTCATTGGCCAGGAAGTGTTTCATGACAAATCGAAAGAAAGCCACCATGAACACACAAACGTGTGTGTTGTTTTTTTTTTTAACTGAGGCAGAGACTTGTGCGGGCCGATGAGGACTCACAGTATACGTGGACCACATCAAACCTACACGGCAAGATGTCACGACACACAGGGCCATCGGGGACACCAAGACGCCACCGGGTCAACAGGAAGAGGGAGACTACCGGCTCAAACATCACACGCTGCCGACAGTCCTGACTTAAGAACGGCGTCCTACTTGCGTCCTGTGACTCTGGTGTTGTTTGGCCGCGAGGACGTCACGACAGGAGGCGTGCAGAGAGAAGGACAGTGAGGTGGTCAGTATTTTGGTAAATTCATGTCAAACAGCATGAATTCTTACGGCCTGCAGTGATGATGGACGTGAAACAACGGGGGCCTAACGGGGCAATTAAAATCTCCTGTTGGCAGAGCTGCAGAATAATACGTCTAGGAGACGGATGGATGAATGGACGGCCTCGCAGATAGTTCAGTATGACAAACTACGGCTTTCATGGAATCACTGATAAAATCTTACATCAACAATTAGTAAATCAAAATCACTTCGTCTAAACTGATAACAAGCCGCTTCAAACTAATTCCTCCATCGGACGCAATAAGAATACTGCTTAAGGGGGGTTATAATACACTTCGACCAGAATGGCTAAGAGGGGGGGTCTGCCTTCTTCCCAACAGCCATGTTACATCTCATGAGATCTCAACTTCCCCACATCACAAACATCACACTCGGCAAGGAGTCAGAGACATTCAATACGAACAGGGAGGTTCACAAGACTGTCACATCTCTGCTAAACTGCTCGTCTAGTGCTGCCAACACAAGACTGGTGCTGTGGAACGGACACTAAATATCAGGATATCATAACGGAAGTGTGGTCCTTTCCTGGTTTTGAATGCTGCGTCACAGTAAAGTCATTTCTGAACTCATTTCATTCAAATGGCTCATTTATTTTTAAATAAAATTGTCAATAATTTGTACCAAGTACCAATGATCAATTATGGTTTTTGGAGGATAAATTGTATGCATCCAGAACACCTTTATCCAGTTTCTATTCAAATGCACTTTGAAGAAAACTCTTATTTGCACATATTAACCCCATGCACTGCATTTGTCAACCTCTTGTGACAATTTTTTTACTTTGGGGCATTTGTTTAGCTTACGTACAGCAGCATTAATTCTGTTGATTTATTACTACTGTAAAAAAAAAAAATAATAGAACAATAACGTCATCTACAACACACTGAAATATCCATTTAAACATTGTTAAAGCCTATAGTCCTGTAGAACCTGTATGTGGTCACATGCACCTCGACCCTCATGCGGCACACTGCCTGTGTGTGATAACGCTCAGAGATCGTTATCCTCACGCAAACAGCCCGAAGGAAGCGCTCATATCTAAGAGTGGACATGCAGTATTACAAGAGAAACCGCACGCAGTCGACACTAAACCCCAGCCGTGTCGTGCATTTTGACACATCTGGCCTCTCCAGAACCGCCCTGCGAGGGAACCGGAGTCGCACAGTGATACCTTGAGGCCGCTCGATAGCAGCTTGCCCAGACGATCCTGTGGGAGAATGCTGAAGGTTTCCTGAGCCAGCATTAAAGTGAAGAGAACAGGAGACACAAGACTCAAGAGAGCGGAGCAGCACTTTAAAGTGTGAATACACACCCACATATATAAATATATATATTTAAATACATGAAGCCTTAACACAAAGATCGTGTAGTATCAGACATTTAGGGGAGAATGAAGAGAGATTGTCAACTGGAATATAATCTCCTAAAGCACCTCAGCGACTAATCAGCCTGTGGTGACACCTAGTGATCCCAGCGGGACATGGCATTCAAAGCTTCAACTTAAAAGTGGAAATAAAAGCTTTAAGAGAAAAAGAGGACACTTTGGTTGTTGTTTTTCACAAAATAATGAATAGACTGATTTCACAAATAACGGCTCAATAACTCAATTGAGGGCTGAAGAACAGCCGAAAAGATGCACGACTTTACTGTTGTTCTTAGTGGAGTTCAAACCTGCTAAAAAAGTGATGAGGGGAAAGCTGCTTGCGCTGCTGCATGACAGTTCAATGGCACTTAATAGAATTAATCATAAATAAATAAAATACTGTAAGATGCCAAATCCGTTTGGCTGCTTAAATAAAATACTGCACTGTGGCTGTTCACTGGAAAAACATTCAAAACAAAAACAGGGCCGACCCTGGTTTGAGGCCGCATGCAAAGGCATTTTCATCATCACTATGTTCACGGTTTGTTACTCGGTAGCTGAATGTTGAACGACCATCTAAAAAGGCCTTAAATGATCTTACACGGACCAAATTGTGCAGCTTTGCTATTGAACCATTTGTCAAACATGACCCGGCACCGGTTATGACGGCAGTCACACACAGACCATCAGTTACCTCAGTAGTGTAAAAATAATTCCCCCATAGAGACGGAACTATGTGCCCAGTTTAATGATGAGAATTACCTGGAGGCCCGACTGGTCCTGGTACTGGCCCTTGTCCCGGTCCTGGAACAGGCATTGGTCCAGGGACGACTCCCATGTTAGGGGGCTGCATCATCTGAGGGGCTCCATTGACGTGCATTCCAGGCTGATCATAGAATAAATAAAAGACACAAAACACACATCAATTTAACGAAGCTTCATCTTGAGTGCCATTTTTAACTGAAATGAAAGTTAAATGTCGACGGAAATCTGAGACTGAGTAAATGAGTAAATCATGACAGTTGAAGGGCCGCGGCATTCACCCCGGGCTGCGGCGGCGGCGCGCTGGGCGGGATGGAAGGCGGGTTGAGCGGCGGCGCTCCCCCAACCGGCCCGCTGGAAATCAGAGGCTGGACGGGTGTCTGGCGGTGGAGCATCTTCTGCGCGGTGGGGGCACACGGAAGAGCATCTCTCAGGAACGAGCAAATGGTTTGAAAAGTGCTTTTGGCTCCGTTTCACATCTCCTCATTCTCAATCTGGTCGGCTCTCAC